TCGCCCTTAACTTTATTTCTCTCTTTTTTTTTTTAGACTTCAGAAAGGTTCGTGGTACGTACAAATTAATTTTAGATAAAATATGAAAATTTTAAGTACAGGAGCTGCAAACTTAATAGTCTGTTTTATTAATGAAGGGTTTTCTTATCAATGCCTTTAATTTTTTGAAAAGCTTCCTTCCCAAGCGTGGCAAGAAATATTGAAATGTCAGGCTCCCATGGGAGCCACCAAAGTATTCATGAGTGTCTCAGAGAATTTTATCTATGTACAAACAGAAAAAAAATATGACTAGATATAGATCAGGGAAAACAACATTTTTATACATAAAATGCCTTACAAATGAAGATGTACTATTTTCTGATATAATTGGAATTTAGTTCTCATAAAATGGCAGTAAATAGTCCAGCCATTCATTAAAATACAACATGATTACAAGTGAATAATAATAAATACTATTGAAATGATTTTTTTTTCAAAAGATGAAAAGTACATCCTAAACAATGCAGGAAGAAAAAAACCCACCCAGCACAGGATCTTAATCAGTCCTGTGTCCTAATCATAAACAACCTGGCCTCTCTCGTTTCTTTACATTAAATTTGGCCTGTGTAATTATCTTAAATCATTCTATCTAAAGTATCTCATTAGCTTCTGATAGTCTCTCAGTAGAGAATATCTATCTTTTTCACTCAGACATTTTTTCATATCTTTGGCTAAACGCTTATAAAACCACCTCATATTCAATTTAGGTCTTTCCTTTCTCCCTTTCATAGAATCCAGACTTCTTTTTCTGGATAAATTCCATTTTGAGACATGATTTATTGAAGGTAAACTGATAGTTTTGAGTTTGAATATGAAGCTATCCCTCCCTCCACAAAAAAATACTGAGAAATAGGTAGGAGAGATAGACTGGGAAAAGTCTTAAAGAGCAAAGTAAAGCTAGGTGGGTGATACATTAAAATATAATTTCTATGAAAATTATTTCATTATGTTTTTTCAAGATGCCCAAATATCAAAACTATTAAAAACAACGTGTTTATTACTCTTAGATTTAAATTGATCTTAAGAAATAAACCATAAATAAAATACCCTTTTGCAAGTGATCATTTTTATGTTAACAATTATTTGAGTCCAGATTCTCCTTTTCTGTATCTTGTTTAAGCAAGGGGTACCCTCAGAAATCACTTGCAATAGTTATATTAAAAGTTACCATTTTATAACCTTAAAATACAATTGGCATGACTATAGTTCTATTGTTCTGATAGTTTATCTCTTATTTTATCATTTATTATATACTAAGTATATCAAAATAATTTAGGAGTTGCATGTGAAATGCAAATAGATAAGCTGAAGCTGGTATACACAAAATATACAGCAAAGCATATCAAAAAGCTGACTTGGATCATTTTGGTATAAGATGATCATCCATATAAATGCAGAGTAATTTGTTTATAATGCGCAGACAGATATGAGAAGAAATGAAAAAAAAAGTTCTTTAATCAAATAGCAGCTGATTTTTTAAGTTTAGAGACCTTCCTTTGGTACTAATAATCAGTTCTTCCTATCCAAACAATTAGAGTGCCTTTAGAACATTATTTAAGAAATTTAAGGAAAATTACTCATAGAGAGAATTTTTATTCTTTGATCTCATTTAGGTTATTATAGCTTCTTTTAATCTTCAACATGTTTTTTGCATATAATTCAAATAAGTAAAATAATTCAGCATTACAGTAAATATGTAGTAAAATGTAGAAACATCTATTTGTAGTGCTAGTAGAATCGTAAATCAGTAACTTTCTGAGGGACAATTTGGTAATGAGTTTAAAAAGACTTAACATTCACAAACTCATTAACTCAGATTCAGATCAAGTAATTGATGCTAAAGAAATGATAAATAATATACACACAGAAATCTGTATAAAGATTTTTCAGTATCATTCAGTTTACAATACAGGGAGCAATTTGGAAACACAGAATGCCCCTCTAGAAAACTCCCTTATGGCAATGAAATAAATTAACAATGATAAACTGAATTTCACTGGAATATTTGCATCAATTAAAATGGTGTTAGAGGAACATATAATAAAATAGAAGAATAAATGAAATACTTTTGACTCAGAAAAGAGAGTTGCTTTGATCTCATTCTGTTTTCTCTGATTTCATTTTGTCCATGTGTTTTAGAGAAATAGTCTCAAAATGTATAGTGTAAACTGTAAATATGTGAAAATTTTCAAATGTTTTGCCAGTGTGAAGTTGTAAAATAATAGACAAAGAAATGTATTCATTTTTTTTTTTCACTCCAGAGAATATGTATAGTGAACCATTCAAAAAGCTTCACCTTTACTCTCTCATTTAAAATCCTGACCCCCGTGGAAAGACTGTGCTTTAGAAGCAATGAGCCCTGTGGGGTAGTCCTGATATTCCCCATAGACTCTCCTATGCCAATGCCCATGCAGCATTCTACTGTCTTCTCCCTGTCTATCTTCTCTCTTCTTCTCCTGTTCCCCTCCTCCTGACCTTTTCTTTTCTCATGCTCTCTCCTCCTCTTCTCACTTACTCCTCTCTTCTTCCTCTTTCTCTTTTTCCCTCTCTCTGCCTCCACTTTCTTCACCTACCTTCCTCCTATAACCCCCCTTCCTCTTTTTCTTAGCCTTCATTGACTACTGTTTATGACCTAAAGATTCAGAAGCCTGAATATAGATGTCTTGCCTAAAGCATGCGCTTATTTTGCTTTGGTGCCTTTCAAATAATGATCATACTGGATTTTAAGATAAACACTCACTGATTGAGAATCAAATACATGTCATCTCAGAGCTAAAGCCAAGAGGGCTCTTAATAGCATCAGAGTATCATAGAGCCTGCAGTAGCAGTGACCATAACTTTAACACATACTTCTAAAGACTTGTGCTATAATTCTTTTTTATTCTACTGAAGCTGAATTATTTATGAGTTAATTATGTATTATACAGTATGATAATAAAGATGCTGCCCTCATATTTTAAAATGTAGCCTTTTGTAAGAGAATGCAGGTTAACAGCAATATATAAAATGACAAAAAATATCCTGTACATTATTTAAAAAATATCTAAAAACTATGTGAACATTTAAAGGTTTAGATATTCATTCTAACTTCACAAACACTTTGTTCAACACCTCTTTTACACTTACAAATCTTAATAAAAATCTGACGTGGCTTGCTCAGGACTGCATTTTCTCCTTTATGTCTCTGTCTGACTCCCATCCCCATCCCTACTCAAGAATTTTCTTGGATGTCAACAGGAGTACATAAGATCCTCATCAACAGGGCCAGTCCTGAATGAGTGTCTGAAGAAGGTTGACAATTTGGCCTAATGGAAAGATATATTATTATCTAAACACTTAGAAAATAAGATATTTAATCAAGGCATTGTGGGCCAAGTGGCAATCCCAGTTTATATGAAAATAGTAACATTTAAAGCATACCTCCTTGATAACAGAACCTGTCAACATTTGCTAGTGGTGAGAATAGCTGTCATTGATTACCTCGTCATTTTTCTAGCTAGGCATAGTACAGGAAAGAAATCAAGATTCATAGTAAACCAAAAAGAAATATTATTTCACACTTTTGTGAGATGTTTCTCAGAAAATGGATAATGCTTAGGAAAACAAATGACAGTGGAAAATGTCAAGAAGCAGCGTAAGTACTGGTTCTTTAGGGAAGGGCCACTATGACTTTCAGAGGCTATGTGGCCTTGGCAAGCCATGTTACCTATGTCTGTTTACTCTTTACCTCACAGAAAAGCATATTTGGACCAGATAGATGATCTCTGATCTCCATTAGACCTCATTGTCTATGATCTGTACATTTTGGTGAAAGCTGTCCCCTTCCTCTCAAAAAAAAAAAAAATTAAAACCATTGGGAAAATGCTGCATGTGTAATTAGTTTATTGAACAATCTATACTTGAAATGATTTTATTTTTTCTTTAATTCTCTGGTCACTTTTAAGTTATACACTTTTAAGTATAACAGTTCTGCATATAATGAAAATTCACTTGTGTGTCCAGCTGATGGTTTATCTCCTTCCCTTCCTCAGGGTCTGGTGGGTAGGTGTTAGCCAGAGGGATTTGCACCTGCCTTTTCACTTCTCCTCTCCTCCATCTTGTACATACTTTTTTCTGCTTTTAGCTGGAGTGAGGACTCTAGAGCTGGAAAGGGAAAAGTGTCTTGCTATAGTTGTTTCTTGGTTGCCACTGCTTCTCAGTCAAGGCTGGTGTTTCAGTACAGTTCATGCAGGAGGAATTCCAGTGCTGGTTCTCAGGTAGATTCATGTGTGAGTCTTCCTGTGAGCCCTAATTATCCCTTTGCGCTTATGACGCTGAAAAGGGAGATCTACTCTGAGTTAAGCTTTTACAGTGCCCTCAAGTCCTGCTCTTGGAATAGACATACGCTGTGGTTCACTTGCATGATGGCCAGCTCATCTGGATGGCATAACAGCAAGCTGATGCAATCTAAGCTAATTTTTACTGTTCACTTGAGTCTCCAAGAATTCAGGTGTCCATTTTCATCTTTCTTTCTGCCCGGTTATCTAGCTCTCTGCAATTATCTGCCTTTCTCACACTTTCCATGCTCCCATAAGCACATAGGCAGATAGGCAAGTTTACTATGTAAGCATGTGGTCAACCAGGAAATAAGATGTCAGTCTCAATTATTATTGGCTTCCTTAATCTCTACAAATCAGTCTCTTGAAATTCCACCTTTGTCTTTATGAGAGGGAAGTTTAGCATAGCAGGTTAAATTGGAAAAAAAAAAGTCACAGTACACCCTCATAGGCTTATATTCCTAATTAAGATCTAACTTCACACTTCCATCTTATTATGCCAACTGGTGCAATAACAAGGGAGGAAAGTGTTGTTTGGTTGTTTGTTAGTGTTGATTGTGTGTATGTGTGTTTGCGTATGTGTGTTTGCAATACTTAATTAAATCTCTCAGTGTCTAGTAACAATGATTTTTCTACTCTCTTTAGGGTCCTCTCAAGCTACCTTTCCCTGGCGTCTGTCCAAGTGGCCAATTAGAGGCAACAGGGTAAGGTTCCCTTAACATTTTGCTATTCCACATTGAGTTTATTCTTTTTATAAGATTATTTTATCAGGTTACCTGGGAGAACTATTAATTATTTCTTAGGTTGAAGAATGAGGAGTATATTGACCAGAATAATCTAAGGAAGAGATGAATAACAAAATAATAGGAAAGGCAAAATGCTGCTAGCCCTCTCCACACTGAAACCAGTGAAGATACCTTCGGGGTTCTTAGTCTATCTGCTATCTCTCTTGTCTTCATACTGATATTATTCTCTATCAATGTAGAGCAGCTTTCTCCGTATGTTGAAAAATGTAGCCACAAAAACCCTATAGTGAGTAAATAAAAATTTACAAAAATTATAAGGAAGGGTATATTTTTTTCAAATTTTATAAGAATCCATTTTATATCAATTAATTATGAACAGTAAGGTAACATCATATAAAAATACAAAAACTTACACAATAGTAATGTGCATGGAATAACTCAAATTTCTATCAACCGATGGAGTCCTATAATTATACAACAAAATATTATTTGTTCATAAAAAGGAAAGAAGTACTGATGTATGCTACAGCATGGATGAAACTTGAAATTATTATTTTAGGTAAAAGAAGCCACAATAGATCACGTATTATGTAATTTATTTTATAGTAAATGTCCCGAATGGGCAAATCTATAGAGAAAAAGTAGATTAGTGGTTGCCTAGGGCTTTGAGAGAAGGACAAAATGTTCTAAATTTAGATTGTTGTGATGATTGCACAGTCCTATGAATTTACTAATAAAGACATTAAATTCATTTTAAATAGCTGAATTGAATGATGTATGAATTATATGTCAATAAATCTGTTTAAAACAGAAAACAACTAATATGTATGGAGTCTCAGAAAAAAGTATAGTTAATCTTACAGGTATCTTTATAACTATGCTATACCTACTTTTTTCTAGGATGTATCCCAGATACACCAGGGATCCACTGCCATTAAAAAACAACATAAATCAATTTTCTTGAATGAGGGGAATTGATTTTCCTTCATGAACATCAACATATAACACCCATGACCTTCTTTGCATCTACTTGTCATGACAGAAGTCATCTCCTGATAATTCATTGTACCAGAAGATTACATTCAACGTAAGCCTGCATCTAGTGGGTAGCTTCCTAGAAGAGTGAGGAGTGTACATCTAGGGGGTGATAGAGGGGATGCATTTGGATGTGGAAATAAAATATTATAACATATTCAGATCTTTAACTATTTGATATATGCATTGATACTAATACCTTCACCAGGGATATAAGCCTGATGACTGTCAGTCTATATGGTATATGACTAATTCTGAGAGAAGACTGGGCACTCTGTAATGTGCAGAATTTGACAGGAGTACTTATATCTGTTCATTTACTTTCAGCATTTTATGCCGTATTACAGTTGATGTATGCTTATGACATCAAATGGATTATATTATCTAGTTTCATATATCTTAATTCTCATAAAATACATAAGTATCTTAGAAGTTTTCCTTGCAAAGAAATCCCAGACAGTAATAATTCATATTAAGTAACCAACAAGATAACTGCAGAGTTGGCACATATCTTCCTCTTAACACAAACTTGTTGTCAATTGGGTTTTGAAGTAAAACAATCAGGATTAGGCAGATATGGCAAAAATCTAACCAAAATTTTGAAAATGCCAAGAAGAAGACATTTTGAAATTTGGACTTATGTCAACTATTGTTAGTGGCAAAAGTTCTCTTAGGTATACATTTGTGACTTAAGTGATTAGATAGTAATACTCTGAAGACATAATGACTTAAAAGGCTTTTTAGAAACAAATATCCAGAACACAAAGAATAAAAACATATATTTAAAAAATATCACATGAGAGTCAAAGGAGCATTTTACACAATTTCATTAATCTTAATAAACTTAAAATGTCCTTATTTAATAGTGAAAGATGAGAAGGACAACAGTAGGAGAAGGAGAAGGAGAAGGAAGAAGAGAAGGAGAAGGAGCAGGAACAGGAGACAAACCTGTTATCAAATAACATTGAATGTAACCTTTGCTCTTCCTGCTCCAGTTCAAAATTGTGGCTGTAATACATGTAAAATGATATGTTAATGAACCAAATCTCATTTTTTTGTTCAAAATTATTTTTGGAAGATAATAATAAAGACAAATATGATAAAGGTTTGAACAAATAAATATAAAGATAGATTACAAGAGAAGAAAGAGTACTGATATAGGCTACAACATAGATGAACAAGTTGCTTACAAGTAAAAAGTTTGTCATATAGTTTAATGCATGTACAGATATATCTAGCATGACTCAATTTATGAGATTTGTTAGATTAAAATGAATAACTAACTTTTTATTAGCTGCTTCTCTGGTTTCTGTCTTG